AAAATGATTTTGAAAGAAGTTATAATTTGAATATAAAATTGAAAATCGGACGGAACTTATGCAAGCTGATACTATGCAGAAAAGTTGAAAATGCAGTAGTAGCGCAGTAGCGCGTGCTGCTGCGGTACTACTGATTTTTAACTCTTCTGCATAGGTTCGACCTCTTTTCGAATGCCGTGACCTCCGAATTGGCAACGCATTTTCTAATTTTGCGTGTATGTGCAAGAACTGTCATGCAAATGATAGCTTTCAGATACTCAAAGACACTAAGATGAGCATCTGATATCTTTCGCTTGAGTGCGACGCTTCAACTTTTGTGAAGTTTTGGATAGGAATGCGAAGACCGCAGTTGGATTCGTTGACATGATTTTATAAATAATCCGTAGACCGGGAGGTTCGTCTCAAGTAGACGCCTCTTGCGCTGCTGGCAGCTGTGATTTTTTATAAAGAGAAAAATTTTTAAGATTGCTTTGTTCATTAAAATTTACAGCCCAGAGCGGCTCTGACAACTAACTTCTTGACACCAACACCAAAAAACACCTGTCGGAATCAAGGTTGTAAGAAAAACGTTGAGGCAGCAACCTCCATTTTCTGGCTTTTGAAGTGATGAAAAGTCTTTATGAGAAGTGCAGGAAACTATATGTATTAAGTGAATCTCAATTGTTTAAAAACTTCTGCTTAGATAAACGGTATTGGTAATGAAGTGGAAGAATTAAAGAAACTTGTAAAAACAACTCTTATTCTGGCAGAGCATTTTTGCAACAAAACGAGAGTACAAATTGTGATATCTATGTGTTTATCCTCTCTTGTCTTGAACTAGCGCGATTAGAAACACATTGTAGTTGCTCAAAAAAAAACAACTAAAAATCAAAGAAGCATAGATATTTTTGCAATCTAGAATCGGCTTCTATTAAGGCATTTGCTATCCTCTCAATGTAAAGCTTTGAAAAGCCAGCACGTGTTCGTAACCGAATGTGAAATTAAATTGATCATGAAATGTCGTGCTCAGCATCACCAAGTCGCTGGAGGTCTACGAAAACAGCAGTGCACTTTTGAAAATTACGATTTTGCAACTATGGACAGCGAAGGATACATGTTTGTTAATCCACATTGGACGAGGTCGAAGAACAGTTCCGATGTGGATTGCAAAGTAAATGGTTTCAAAATTTGCATTTTTGCAAAAATTGGTTTTCAGATTATTTTTCTGGAGCCAGCGCGGAATAATGAAACGAACAGATGGAAAGACGGAATCAAGGAGTCCGTCGAAGCAGAGGTGTTTTTTCATAAGCTCCATCACTCATCATTTTTCAATATTAGGTACTCAAAAACCAAAGGTTTCTCGCCAATGGGGAAGCGTTCTACGTACGCTGCTATGAAAAGGAATTAATGGTCTATGAGCAAGTGTATCCTGGAATGAGAGATCTGAAGAAGGAGCGCTACAAGGTAATTTTATTAGAAAGTTTTTTTTTGAATCAGTCAATCGACTGATTACGAATAAAAGTCACTAGAGTACAAAAAAATTCAGTTACTTGGGTCTTTCCTAACTTTAACATTTCTAGTCAAGATCTGAAGGCAATTGGTTGCAACATTTGAGAAATGACTACTACTAGGGCTTGGCACAGGTGGCTTACGGGGCAAGCTGGATATC